CAGAAAGAATTAACCTTTCTTGTCACGGTGTTCAGTGCTGCTAGGGAAATTAAACATGAGTGGGGATTGATTAAAGACATCCTCCCCTCCCCCCCAACCTTACAGGAATGATGGGAAGAAGACTGAGAAGATGAAGATTTTAATAAGAATCATTTAATCAGAGCTATCGTCAAATGCAATGGACAGCCACCATAGCGGAGTCATTCCTCAACTCAAAAGGTCTTTCAAGCAGAAGCTGGTCTAATCCTTATTTGAGGGTGCTGATAGTTCAGGCTGGGGTTGCACTAAAGTCCTCTTTGTCTCTTAGACAGACACTGTGGGTTCAATACTTTGTGAAGAACTAATGTTTTAAAGCCTGGTTTAAAGTTGCTTTAAATGTATACATTTGGCACATTCACAAACAAACCCAAACCCAATCTCACCTACCTGCCACTTAGATCCTCCCCAACTACTCTGAGCTCACATTAATCACTCCATCCTCTGAATTCTTATAGCTTTTTATTACCTATACTTGCAATTCTGCATTTATCTTAGGTTGCCTTTGCAGTGTTACTTAACTTTTCATAACTCCCTCTAGAGTTGTATCTTTTTATATTCATCTTGTCTACTAGCCTACTTGTCTATTACATGTCTTGGCTTATTAGCCATTCCCTGTATTTAGCACTCCATCTACTGTCTTCCTGAGTGAGTCTGGAATGCAATTCCTCCTGACTTTTCATTTTAGAATGTATAGCTTCCTTTAAGGCTCAGTTCAGGTATCACCTCTTATGGGAACTCTGTCCTCCCTCCCTTACTTGTTAGTTCTCTCTCCCTCCTTAAATTATCTGATTTTTATTTATATACATACATACATGCTATAGCCCTCAGTAGAATGGAAGGTCCCTGAAGGCAAGAACCATGTTGCGTTTTTTTTTTTTGAAGTATTCCCAGTAACTAGCACAGTGTTTTGCCTATTTCTGTTGCTGCTCAGTTGTTTCACTTGTGTCTGACTCTTTGTCACCCCATTTGGGGTTTTCCTGGCAAGGATACTGGAGTGGTTTGCCATTTCCTTCTCCGGCTCATTTTACAAATGAGGAAACTGAGGCAGAGTTAAGTGACTTGCCCAGGGTCACACAGCCCAATCTGAACTCAGGTCTTCCTGACTCCAGGGCCAGTGTGTTCGATTTACCACCTAGCTACCCCAGTAGGTGCTTAATAAATACTTGTTCTCTTGGGAGATTTTGTGTCACTGGCTAGGCTGTCCAGCTGCCTGAGGTCCAGACATCCAAGAGTCAGCTATGATGAATCTGAGCCACAGGGTCAGCAAAAGCTGCACCCTCAGATACATCCCTGCCATATAAAACAATACAACACTCTGAACGTTCAGAAGCTTGACAGTTACATGTTAAGTATTGGGGCCTGACATATGGAGCTTTAATTCTAAGGCTTCACGAACACCCTCACTTCATTCTATCGCCATGTAATTCTCTAAGAGACACCTTCCACCTACTTTGTTATTCTAAGTGCTTTCCAAAGATGGCACGCTAACTCAGAAAATACAAGGAACCAGAACTCACAATTGAAACAATGCGTTTCTACTTCATTGGCCGCTGAACAAAAGCAGAAGGTATACACACTGCATCAAAACCCAATAAAATGAAGTCTTGCAAGAGGCACAAAATGCCAAGCAAACAGATTCAAATTCCCAAAGTGGATGTTCAGAGCTATTAATAGTTTAGTACAGATGTGCTCCCATTTAAGACAGCCCAACATATGAAAAACCCCAAATATACAAAGACAAGCAATTTGGGGGTGAGAATTAGCATCACAAAAGTATTCATAAAATTCTCCTTTAAATAGCAGGCTCTTCTAGTATATTTCAAATATGACTGCTTTTTACAAAAAATGGAATTTAAATAAATTTCAGGAACATACTTGTTTTAGAAAATGAAGTCCATGCCAGAATCTTTGTATCTGTCAAACATTAATAATTTGTTGTTTGATTTATATCCCAGGATTTAGAAAGGAGGTTGCTTTTCAAATTAAATGTCAAGGTTAAGAGAAGCCCCATTCTGTAGGAAACAGAAATCCTGTCTGTGAGTGGTTCTGATTACCCCAAGTTCAATGCCATGGAAGATATTTATTCATTAAAATTCCACTCGCTAAGCATTTAATGAGAGCATACTATGTGCAAGATACTGTAAACTTTTGCTTAATAAAAAGAACTGCATTCATCAAAGGCTTCAGGCCCCTACTTGAACTTTGGAGCAAGAGAGGAAGGCAAAGAGGGACCGAGGAGGGAAAGAAAGGTATTGGTAAAGAATAGAACAGAAGATGCACAAACTGGTTTGTTTCTTTGCATTACGTTTTATAGACAGAATAGGCAGAAGTATTCCATAATAGTTCCTGAAAATTTCACTTTCATTCTCCCTCTTTAAACCCATTCTGAAAACATCCGATGTTCACAAGGCAGCCTGTCTTGAAAGCAAATCAAAATAATGAAAAATTTAGAGCCCTCAATTTTGTATGTATTTTTCTTTTCACACTATGAAAAACTGATCATCATCTTTTGGTCAATAAAGTCTAGCTACATAGAAATACTCTTCTCAACACTGCCCTTCCAAAAATCATTGATAATATGTTCCCCCCAAATTGAAGAAAAAAGCCTGATTGTGTAAGCTTCTTCTAAGGCTAGGGTTTTTAATTTGGGGTGCATGAACTTTAAAAACCCATATCTTTAAAACTGTAATAATGGTTTCCTTTTCAAACTATTTTTATTTTATACACTTTATTTATTTATTTTAAAACCACAGTTTTGTTTTACGTATTTTAAAGTTATTTTGAGGAGGGGTCCAATGCCTTCACCAGACTTCCAAAGGGATCCATGACACAAAAACAATTACGAAATCCTTGCTCTAAGGAAAATCATAGCCTTAGTTAAGCCCACCAAAGGTGGAAATTACCTGATGTTTTTGTCAGATAGGGCACTTAGTATGATATCTTAGGGACTGGACCAGTTGAACTGTTCCTTTTTGACTTGGGCTTCAGTAAGAGTGCCATAATATCTAGGAAAAAGGAGGTGACAGTTTCTCTGTACTCTGCCTTGGTGAAAACTCATCTGGACTATTTGGTAGGGTTCAGGGTGCCACATTTTAGGTGACACTGATACATTGTAGAGACTTGTAAGGATGGCAACCAAGATGATGAGCAAGAGCATCAAGATCATGTCATCAACTGAAAGGTTTGGGAACATGCAATAGGGAGAAGAGAAGACATGGCAGCATGATACTTCTCCAAGGACCTGAAAGGCTATCGTGGAGGAGGGATCAAAACCTTGCTCTATGTGCCCTCTCTTGAAATAAAGTTGTTTGGCTGTTATCTTTGTTGTTGTTTGTTGTTTAAATTTTGGAGGCAATGGGGGTTAAGTGACTTGCCCAGGGTTACACAGCTAGCTAGTAAATGTCTGAGGCTGGATTTGAACTCAGGTCCTCTTGCCTCCAGGGCCAGTGCTTGATCTACTGCACCGCCTAGCTGCCCCCTTTTATCATTGTTGTTGAGCTGTTTCAATCCTCCATTTGTCCTGACCCCATTTGGGGTCTTCTTGGCAAAGATACTGGAGTAGTCTGCCACTTCCTTCTCCAGTTCATTTTATAGATGAGGAAACTGAGGCAAACAGGATTAAGTGACTTGCCCAGGGTCACACAGCTAGCACTGAAGTCAGGAGGACGAATCTTCCTGACTTCAGGTCTGGCACTCTATTCACTGTGTTACCTAGAGTTTCCCAGAATAAAGTTGTGCAGTTAAGCAAAAACAAACCTAATGTACTGGGTGTATCTGCTTTGTTGTTTAGTAATTTTTCAGCTGTGACAACTCTTCACAACCTCTTTTGGATTTTTGGCAAAGATACGGGAGTTGTTTGTTATTTCCTTCTCCAGCTCATTTTACAGATAAGGGAACTGAGGCAAACAGGGTTAAGTCACACATATATCTGATTGGCTAGAGGTAAAAGGCAAGCTTCACTCTCCTTCTATGATCCACCACTTCTCTTCTGGGAGGTGGAAGGGAGGTTTTATTGTTATCCTCTGAAATCACAATTGGTTACTGCATTGACTGGAAGTATAAACAGCCCTCGAAGATTTCTGAATTAGTACTAAAATTCCCTGTCCAAATTAAGTCATTAGGTAAGTTTGCATATTTTGAGTTTAAAATTTCTCCAGAGAAATTAATCTGCATTTTGGTCTTTCAGGTGTGGGTTTGACAAATGTAACCACTCTCTCGTTTTGTTTTTTTTTAATTTTAAAATTTTTTATTTTTTTCTTTATTTCTTTTTCACTCTCTCATTTTTCAGGCAGATCTATATATTTGTGATTTTCTGGGCTATTGGAGAATATGCAGTGCTGTAGGGCTACCATAATGATGCCAGGGATATTGGCTACTGGCCCAGAAGAGGATTTGGTTGGGAGGGGGTGCAGAGTGTATTGTTTATAGATTCTATACATCTCAGGCATGCCTGGGAAAAACAAACAAACAAACAAACAAACCCAGGCTGGTTTTTTAACGACAGAGGCATTACAGCTGAGGAGTCAGGATACTCTGTCAATGACTGGAACACCGAAGCCCCCCATACTTCTGGCCTGAAGGCTCAGAACTGAAGCAGGCTTCACAATTGGGCAGGGAGAGGTACTGAATAGAGTGGAGGAGGATTACAGTCAGTGCTATGCCCGTAGAAGGGTTGCTATGAATTATTGAGTGATTATAGCTGAAGGAGGCTACTCTTGAACCTACTCTAGAGGGAAATGACACAATTTACAGAGTCAAGTTTGATGCTAGATGTTCAAAAGGAAAAAGGGGGGATTGGCCCCACTCCCAGTTTGGCTGCTGTCCTCTTTTGTCCTGAATTTTGCTTCTGGTCTTCTGAACCCAAAGACAAAATGATTACAGCATTCCCCAAACCAAGAGCCAAAATGCAAACATATAAGCTAGAGAAATGACTGCAGCAAAAGATAACCCACTTTAATTACCTTCAGAATTATGCAGGGATTTGCTCTGGTGTACATTATAATCCCATTGCTTTGCAGTGTTCGCAGACGCAGAGCCAACTTAAATTCCTCTTTCTTGCTATTTTCAGAAAGCCGGTATTTGATGTAACTGTTTCCAGCAAAGCTTAGAGAAGTGTGCCCTAAAAGAATCATTATGAGAAGATACATATACTTTTAATGTTCATAATGAGCAGGGACACACAAAACTACCCAACAAGTGCCAAGCGAGTTAATTAAAGATCATGCGCAGCTAATGAAGCCATTTTTGGAGAAAGCTTTTAAATAAAAACCTACCAACTTTGGGTTAAAAACAGTTCCTCCATTACACACCACACTTCTTAAATTTGGGTTGAAAAACATTATTAAGCAATCAGATCCCTGGGATCTGGATTGCCCTGTGACAAAGGGAAATTTAACACTTCAAAACCTGAATTATCACTATGCCACTAAAACTCTTCCTATTGAGAATCAGCAAAATTCTAACTTTCAAAAAGATGCAACAAATGGCTTCTGAAGGGGCTGAAGTACTTTTAGTGCCATCAAATGAAATACCACTATATTTCCATTTGAAATGTTTACAAAAGTAAGCTCCTGAAACGTCTGGTTTTGAGTGTGGTCCTCTTTTTCTTCTTTACATAGATTTTAAGGATGGAGAAATTCCATTTTCTACAGGAAGACTTTCCCAAACCCTCAATTCTAATGTCTTCCTTTTTTCAATTCTTTCCTATTTATCCTGTATATATAGCTTGTTTGTATATATTTATTTGCTTATTGTTTCTTCCATTAGACTGTGAGCTCTTTGAGAGCAGGGACTGTATTTTGTCTTTTTTTTTTTTATCCCAGAGCTTAGCATAATACCTGGCACATGGTAGGTGCTTAATAAATGTTTACTGATTATTGAGTGAGGAAGAGCACAAAATTTCTGTCAATCTATTAACAGGATAATAAGCATAAGGAAAATTAAGGGTCAATGTCATAGATGTGGATTACGTGACTTGATAGGCAGAAGAGAATTTTGGAGAGAAAAGATTTGGGCTCTAGTCTAAATATCCTGTAAATACTATATATCTACTTATTCATGTACATTCTGAATATACTGAGTAAACTGTCATTTTCTAACTCAAACTCTTTTTAAAAAATAATAGGAGAGTATCTTCAAAGGGTAGGTTCCTGGGGATGATTAATGGAGCATGGAAGTCACCCCATTTTGTATACAGCTTTGTTCTTGGGCTTGATAGCTGAGAAGATTGTATTGTCATCTCCAAATAACTGAGCTAGAAATGTCAAAAATCCCAACTGAGTCTGAGTCTGACTGCAAACTTGTTCATATTTTTGAACTTCCGATACGCTTCATAATAACAAAATGACATTTTAGTAATGACTAATGATTATATTTCCTTTTCTTTCCCAACAATATATTTTAACAATCAATGTTAGAATTCAAAAAGCCATGCTTGGAAATGAATGAAGGCCACAACAGCCAAAGTGAAAGCTGGATGAAGGTCAAGAAGGGAAGATTTAAAGCTAAAATCATATAAATAAGACTTTTTTTTTCCAGGACATGAGGGTGGATGGCTCTGCTTTTATGAAATATGCTACTATCCATCTCAAAAGGATAATACATTCCTTACTGGTCCAAGCCTGCTTGGCTTATTCCATAGACCATGATTGGCTTTTCCATCTAAAGCACTATCTTCTCATGATGGCAGATTTATGCAACACTCTGAATAGCAAGGACTACACTAAAGATGGGCTGCCCTTTGCTCCAACAATGTTCTATTTTCTATAATGTCATACTTTTAAAATACATGAGAAGAAACTGAAAAAGCCTGCAACATTTTTTGTCATTCCATTATAAATAACACACAGTTATTTCAATTTTGTTTAGTAGAAATACTGAATTCTGGGTTCTGGATTCCTAGTAGAACCCAGTGGCAGGCAGCTGTTAGCACAGTGCCTGGCACAAAGAAGGCATTTAAATAAAATGCTTGTTGACTGACAGCTCTCCCCTCACAACATACAATATGAGGATATTACAAGCTCACAGATTTAGAGCAGAAAGAGAGCTTAGAGGTCGCTGAATCCTCATTTTACAGATGAGCTATGACCTAGAGAGATGAAGTAATTTGCCCAAGGTCACACAGTGACCTATGAGTCTGAGACAGGACTTCCATTTTCTAAATCCATCATGCAGTCTATGATCTTCAGGTTGGAGTGGCTACCCAAATTAATGAGAGTAAGAAGCTCGGAGAAATCCCAAATAAGTTTTGAGAGTGTATATTACACTGGGTCAATTCAGAAAGACATTTCATATGTTGTCAAGAAATACCTTTTAAGAGTTTGGGGAGAATGATTTAATCAAGGTGTTAAGTGCTATAAGAATCAAAGTTAGAATATTTATCTAATACCATCCCGTACCTGAGCATTCGCCAAGTTTTCCTGGTGGACACTGGCAGATGAATGGTCTTCTATTGGCTTCATAACCAACACACTGCATGTCCCCAGGACAGGGCTTCTCCATACAAGGATCATTTGACCCTGGACAGAGTCCTCCTATTACAAATGGAACAACACAGTTAAGTACACAAAGAAATGAATGGAATGCAGAAATTGGCCAAGAATAGTACTACAGAACAGTGAAGATTCAGAGAGATTTGAGAGCAGTACTATCTTATATGGACTTCCTACGTTATGGTATACCTGTAGAACACCTTGAGTACCTATGCCTATGTTGCTGCAATGAGACTGGAAAAAAGATCTCCAATTTAAAACTGAAGGACATATGGATTAGACCAATTTTATCAAGGAAACTGGGAAAATGTTTATCATCTCACTACTTGAGATTTGTGGATATAAGGTTTGTTAGGATTGATGAAAATCTGGAGATTTCTGGAAGAAACCTAAAGAAATTATCTAGTGTACTTCTCTAATTTTTACAGGTAACGAGGACAAGTGTTTTGACCAAGGTTGTGTAGGTGAGTTATCTGGGATTTGAACCCAGGACTTCTAACTCTTAATCTAATGTTCCCTCCCCTCCCCAGCCCCTTTCCCCTTTCCATGCTCCATGTGACCTTTATCACCAAGGTTGGGCCAAAGGGTGGGGTGGACGTGGACTTGTTCTCCAGGTACCCACCAAGGGCCTTTTAATTTAGCCTAAATCTGCATAGAATCTAAGTGATTAAAAAAGAATATTGCTATGGATTCCAAAGAAAGTACGAATCATTTTGCTGAACTGATGTAGAGTTATGGAGGCAATGCACTTGCCTACTTTCTAATCTCTTCGACTACATGCTGTTTTACTATGTGCAAATGTGATAAAGCAACATTCATGAAAGTAGAATTAGCCATTTCAAAGGAAAATGTCCTTCCCAACCATGATCCTAATGGAACAGGAGGATGAAACTCTTCTTAATTCTTTAGAAAAAAAAAATCCTGGGAAGCAGATTAACAGATTTAACTACGAAATTAGGCGCTAAATGAGTTATTTTGATTCCGCAACCTTGGCAAACATAGGAAATGTGCTTTTCATGGAATCTGGATATTTCAAAAGTAATTAGGCCATTTCCTACCTGGTGAGAGAGAGCTACTCCTTAAGTGTAAATTACATCAGGGTAAGTAATAAAGTGGCTATAAAAGGAGACAAATTAAAAATAACTCACAACTGGAACAGTAATTTTCTAAATGGCTTCCCAGTGGCCTAAAAGAGTTAGAGCCCCTTCATGTGAATTTAACACTTCTGGGGATTCAGCAGCTCCATCACTTGGCAAGATCTGGTCTATTATATTTTTCTTAGATTTCCATTCTATCCTGACCATTAAGCATATTGTCCTACTAAACATTAATTTCTTAGTCTAGAAGAAAATAGCAATTCAACTTTAACAACATATAAATATTTTAGGAACTGTAATCTTTGAGAGAAGCAATATAAGTGGCAAGAGCAAACCCAGAATTTATAAATCCTATTTTTCAGTGGTTTATAGCTTAGCCATAAAAGATGTTGCCTGGCCCTGAACTGGTTTATCATGCCTCAGCTGATGAAAGGATTTTTAACAGAAAATTTAGAAATAACTATACATCTGGTTTTAAACAAAACAAGGAGAAAGAAGAAAGGACCTGGACACTTTACAGCATGAGGAAACCTGTTGTTTAGTGACAATGATTCAACAAAAAGTCCTCCTTGGGAATCCTTAGCACTGCCATGCTTTTTTCAATGCTCCTTCATCTTATAAACAGTTGCTTGGGCATTCTATGTCTTCTTCTAACTAACTATTAATGACTAGTGTTAAGGGACTACTGGTGCTTTTAGGTAAAAACAAACTCTGTTTTGTCCAAATGCATAGACTATTCATAGATAATGGCTCAAGCACATTCTTCAATGTTTACTTGCAAGACCAACAGGTAGGCTGGGGTAACAGTCACATTTTACTGGCATTAAGTCAACTCTCAATTTTCTCTATGTGGATTATCCCTACTTTCTGACACCCAGCACAATTCTAGGCCACTTCATTTGCAAATTTGTGCTCAGGGATTACAAACTAATATTAACATTTACCCAAGCCATAGCAATTTAGCAAGGTATACTGCCATAAAAAATAATTACAAGGTGCAGCCCCCAAACAAATGCTAATCATTTCTAGATCATCTTTATTACCAGTCCCCTAATTTAGCATAACATTTGACTATGTATTCAGTCACTCTACCACTGACCAAACCATAGGAAATACCTTTTCTATTTCAACTGTAAGGTGATCCACATTACCATTTTTTTTCTTTCTAAAAGCAATATCCTCAGCAGTCTTGCTTTGAAAAGGTTATTTAGAGAGAAGGCAAAAAGTTCTTGGTATGGGGGGTATGATGAGGTACAGTACTGTCTTGCTCAGTCTTTTTTAGAATCCTTAAAGGTAACCTCTCTGATCTCCTAACTGGAAAACACAGAATAGGAAACATTCTGACTGCAGCTGCTGTTTTATCTCTGGCCCTATTATTATTCCACTGTGCAACAAAAGCTACCCCCACCAGGTCCTTATGACAAAAGGGTAAAACACAAGGGTTCCATCCGACTTAAGTAACTCTCACTGTATCTTTTCATCTTCTGTGTCTCTCCGTCCTCTGTCTCCTTCTCTCTTTCTGTCTCTCTCTATCTCAATCTCTCCATCTGTCTTTGCCTTTTTCTCCCTGCTTCCTTTCTCTGTGTATATCTGTTGGTCTGTTTCCATCCTTTATTCAAGTAAAGAAAGGCTAAATAGTGAGGCTATTAAGCAAGCAGGTTTCTCCAAACTAGAACCTGGCTTTTTCTTCTCTGTAAACATTTGGAAGCACTTAGGTCATGTCTAGAATATATTCTGTTACAGAGGCTAAATTCCTTATAACTGATGTGGAACGGATCAACACCTGCCCCATCATGGCTCAGATACAATGAGATTCTAAGTTGTCTGAATCCTGGGAAAGAGTTTTAGTAGCAAAACCTTCTTCTTCCAGCTGCAGCTGAGGGCTCCCTAAATACATAAGACCTGGTAAGCTCCACACAACTCCTAATAACTTAATTTGCTTTGACAAATCACATGTTTACATAATTACTATTTTAGGACTTATATACATACTATAATTGTTATGGGCCACAAGGCACTTTTTTAATTGTAAAACAATGCCCCGCTCATCCCCCAGGGAGTGACTGCCGACTTCTGCAAGGATAGTCTATCAGCATAACTACCCCTACGGAATTCAGATTTAATCATAAATGTGTACTAAGTTCAGGAACATCTATCTTAAAGGAGGGATGAAATATTTATGTTATAAATTTTCAGGCTAGTCAATTTTGTCCAAAATTGGTGCCGAGGGGAAAGGGGCTCATTTTGTTAAGCCAAAAAGGTTCATTTTCCCTCTGCATCCAAAGGGAACTTGGTTGGTGTTTGCCATTTTAGTTCCCTTTTCAATCTGTATGTTACTTAAAAATACCTGTTGCACACGTTAAATTTTGCAGCATGTCAAAAAGTAAAACCATCAGAACAGACTACTTTGGCCTACTCCTAGGTCAACCACATTCAGAAGGGAGTTCAAAGCCTGAACCTAATTACTCGGCTTTGCAGATATTTCCTGCAATCAAAACATTAAGAGGTTTCAAACCAAGAGCTGCTAATCTGCCTGGCTACTATGACTACTAACCTGGGAATGATGTAAGGCCTAGCCCAGCCATATTTGAACAGCTTTCCTTTTTTGTGAGATGCATGATTTAAAAGTTTGCAGAAGATATACAGTATTGTATTAGGTAATAGCTGGCAATTTTTTATTTTATTTTGCTTTTTCATTCTGGACTCATCTGTTCTTTCATCAAGTTAAGTAAAGTCTGAAGAGAGAAACTGCTCTTTATCAATGCTGATTGGCAACTTACAGTCTTAGAGAGTAGCCTGAGGTACTGAGACGCTAAGAGATTTGTTCCATGCCCCAGACACAGTATTTGCACCCAGGGTTTCCTGACTTCCAAAGGTCACATAGTTAGTATCTGTCAGAGAGGTAACTTGAACATAGGTTTTTCTGACTGGGGCCAACTCTCTTTCCACTAAGCCACACTTCTTGACTATTATTAACAAGTCTAATAGTTTCAGTAGCCATATGAGGACTTTCCAACCCAGTCTTGTCTGCTTCCAAGGTATCTAGTTCAGACAGCTTCTTTGCCCAGGGTGAGGCTGCAAACAATATGCTCTACTTTGAACGTAGCTTTAATCTCATAGTCAGGTGGTAATTTAAGACACAGGAAGGTTCTTGTGGTTGACAAACATGCAATTTATCTGGATTAAAAATGGCGGGTGCTTTAGAAACAGCTGAGAGGAAGGGGATGCAGCTGGGCTCTCAGGATGGAAGCTCTGGAATCTTTAGAGTTTTCCCTCTCCTTTCTTCTTCATTACATTGAGATTTACCTGATGATACATATAAAGCATTCAAGGACCCAGCATCATCATCAGTCATCATTCATATTTTTACCTAGACCAGTGTCTGGATTTGTATCTGATTCATTCCAAGATGGAACCAGAGAGGTTCATGGTAAAGAGTTAATATCTCACATTAGGCACACCACTACTCCCTTCGGACTTTTGCTCAGTAAGAAAATTTAAACTATAGAAACATACAGTACCTGTTTTGAGTTGGTCTCCTGTGGTTTTCTTAGAGAAGCCTGAATCATATAGTATATTTGCTTGGCTGAACAACATTTTCTGGATGATTTCATCACTGCGCTGAGTACAACTTCATGCAATGATACTTTCCAGGGTATATATGTATATAGGTATATATGTATATATGTGTGTGTGTGTATATATATATATATATATATATATATATATATACACACACACATATATACATACATACAAATATATAGGGTTAAATACTTACAATTTCATGCACATACTGGAAAGGGAGGCAGTGGCTTTAGATTCAGGAGGACCTGAGTTCAAGTCCTACTTTTTTTGGGGGGGGGTGAGGTAATTGGGGTTAAGTAACTTGCCCAGGGTCACACAGCTAGTAAGTGTCAAGTGTCTGAGGTCAAATTGGAACTCAGGTCCTCCTGACTCCAGGGCCAGTGCTCTATCTACTGCGCCACCTTGCTGCCCCATCAACCTATTTCTGACACATACTAGCTATATGATCTTAGACAAAACTCATAACCTTTCTGTGCCCTGGGGAAGGCGATAACTTTCAAAGACAGTGTTGATCTACACAGATAGAGCAGATTCCTCATAGGAAGCTCCCTATAGCAATGAAAAGATAGAACTGGTCCAGACAAAAGTCAGAAATGGCCATCCTACTTTTTAAACAATAGGAATACACCATATTGCTAGCATTACAGATAGGTGATATTTATACAGCCCTCTGAGGTTTATAAGGCCCTTTTACAGATATTATTTCTCTTGAGCTCCATAACAACACTTTGTTGGTAGGTACTAAATTATCATCACATCCCTATTTTATAGTTGACTAAATTATGGTTCAGAGAACTGGTTGGTTCTGCCCTTGCTCAAAAAGCCAGAAAGTGTCAGGGAGAAGATTTGAATTTAAGTCTTCCAGACTCTAAGTCCAGACCTCTATCTAGAAATACCATGCTGCCTCTTGCCATCAGGATAGTAAAAGAATTAGTCATTCTAGACAGCTTAAGAAGGAGTTCACACATGTGGGACACTATATATCTATACTTAGGTCATTTTGCTTTGTTACTTCAAAGGAGCATCTCTCATGAAAGGTTATATGTAGGAAAGGGATTGTGCTGCAGTGTAAGAATGAGCGGATTGACACTTTCCACAGACACAACACAAACATTCAGGGCTATCTGAAATCATAAATGCCTCTCTTTCCCTTCTGGTAAAAGGTGACTAATTGCTTCCCTGTATAATGAAGATGGTGACTGATCAATAGGGGGTAGGAGGGAGAGACCTTGTAGTATAATAATAATGATAATAATACTATTATTATTTTTATATAATATTAATAATAGTATTTATATAGTGTTTTCACATCTGTAAAATGCTTTGAATACATTAAAGCATTTCATCCTTCCAACAACAACCTTATAAGTTAGATGGCATTATTATCCTCCTTTTGTAGATATGAGAACAAAAGCTGAAAGAGGTCATTTAAGTGACTTGCCCAAGGTCACACAGCTAGAGAGCACCTGAGACAAGATTTTTAACTCGGGCCTTCTTGTCTTCAAGACTAGTGCTCTATCCGCTATGCTCACTGTCTGGTTATTCTTAGCTGAACCTCAAAAAGCTCTTTGAGGTACATACAACAGAAATAATTTTGTTTGTATCACAGGTACATAAAGACAGTTTAAACAAAAAGAGACATAAAGCAGCTCAGTGACTTGGTCACTAAAACCTTTGTAGAGTGGGCACAATAGCCCAGGTCTCCTCCAGGTATCTATCTAGTACCAATTTACTCTTATCTTATGATACCTATCTACCGACCCTCACACACACACACACACACACACACACACACACACACACACACACACACACACATACACACACACACAACTTTTTCCTCACAACAGTTCTTAATTCTCTGGCAGTACAAATACTATTACCTTCATTTTATGGAACAGGAGACGAAGTGTCTCAGGTGGGATTTGAACCTAGGTCTTCTTGACTCCAAGCCTAGTTTCTTGCCTTATACTCAAACAGCATGTTTTACAATGTCTGGCACATATTAGGCACTTAGTAAATGTTTATTTAATTAAATATGCTTGCAAGTTTCTTATTTATGTCATATATTTATGTTATGAAGCCCTTGGAAAAATGCCAGGAGAGCAATGATCTAGTTCTCCCACTACTACTCATACTTTGGTCAATTCTTGAGACCTCACTGATGGATTCTTCGTCTGGACCCACCTCTCCTCTACATGTCGGTCAGCAGGCTCTTTTAGAGTGAGCTGGGTAATGCTCTCCCAGTCTCTCTCTCCTCTTTCTTCCCTGGTCAGATCAGGTTTCATGTGTAATTTTCCTTCCGCCTGATTTTATGTCAGGCTTCCTTGTGAGTCAGAGTGTATGAGGTGCCTATCAGCCAGCAGCAGCCACAGAGGCAATCACACAGCCTCCCCCGCACCTGCTGAACTGCTGTTCACATGCAAAATTTAATGGTGGCTGGAATTTAATGAGGCCAACTGGCACTAAAATTCAGGTCTTCTTTCATTCAGTCGCAGCAATTCAGCATTTTCGTTCAAAATGATAATGATCATCAGACTCAAAAATCTGTATGAGAAAAAGACGAGCTTTGTGTTGGGCAACAGAGGCCTGGAGGAAGCGAACTCGGGTGCAAGCAGAGCAGTGGAGCGTAGGGTGGAGAGAGCCACCATTGGTAATGTTAATTACTCCACCCAGTGGCCAATAGGGTCACCTCCAGATCCTGTAGCTGGCTGGCCCGAGTTATTAAGAGTCCAAAGGGGTTAGGCTCTCTCTACAACTTATAAAGAACTAATGCTTGTGAATTATCAGTGTTGAATTCCTTGACCATTTACTTCCTCCTGAGAAATGAAGGATGCTGAACAAAACTAAGGCTGAGAAAAGAAACTTCCTTTACAATTCCTCACCTAATTTTTATTTAAGAGAAAATCCTAGGGAAGTGCAGGAGGATAGGAGGTTATGTTGTACAACACAGTGGTCACACTCCCCGTTTTTTGGAGAACGTCTTATTATCCTTCTGGCATGACGCTGATTGGTATGGCTCCTATTCAGTTCAGTAACAGGTACTCATGGGACACTCACTGGTTGCACATCAGGTAATAGGCAGGGTTGATTACCCAATGAATAACCCAAGGTCACGCAGCTACTAAGTAGAATGGTGGTGATTATATTTATGTCACTCTCCCACCTCCCTGACTTTGCTTTTTAGCACCTCTATTTCCCCCTATACCCAGAAATCACTTTGCCTATATGCTGTATTTATTTATCCATGTATATGCTGTTTCTCCACAATAGAATGTGAACACCTTAAAAATATAGGGACTGTTTTTATTTTTGTCTTTTTATCCTCAGCACCTAGCATGGTAGATTACACATAGTACACATTAAATGCTTCTTGAGTTGAACTGCTGATTGCATATCTGTTACTTTTATCATTGTTAATTAACTGTAAATGCCTTAAAGGCTACAACATAGCCAGGATCATAATTTTATTTATTAGCTGGATAAGGCATTGAACCTCTCTAGGACTTAGCTGTCCCATCTACAAACAGAGTCAATTAATATCTTGCCCCTTTGAAGGAAGGGATATGGATCTCTTTAGATCCACTGTATCTAAGATCTATGATTCTGTGAAATACAATAATTATACAAATGAGCCAATAAGAAATGCAGACACTGATGCTCTCTTCATCACCAAGACTGTAATCCTCTCAGAAACTCAGGATTTGTAAGGTCTTGTGTCCCACCCTCGGGGCACCTAGATTTGGCTCCTGGAAAGCTTATTAGAGGTGTACTGCTCAAGGGGACAGAATTGAGGACAAGTGTCCCCGACACAGTTTCCCCTCTTGCTTCACACATATAACCATCAGCCAGAGCAAAGTTCCAATTTGCAAGGTTTTTCAGTGCCTGTACATGATGACTTACTCACCTAGAAACAAGGTAACATGCTGTTCTCGACAGCTCCTCAGGACTCTGAGAACATGTCATTTCAGTTCTCTCTGTGGGTGAGACTCCGAGGCCTGTGCCAGGTCACACCATGGGAGTCCGTGGCTGGTACATCTGCTCCTGCAGAGTAGAGCTTCACCTTGTACCGAGCCATTCCACCTCCTGTACTCTACTCTACATACCTTCATTAAGCCCCTTACCATGCTTTGTTGCATAAATCAGCTTGCTTACTAAGGTAATCTAGGTAAGACACGAACAGCTGGCCTGCATAAATTGTGTGTGGCAGTGACATCTGCCAGCGACAAAACCCCTTCGCATATGATGTAGGCATTCAGATCATCTGGCTTGCAGATAATTAACATATCCAACAGGTCTGGTCATCATCGAATCTGACTGATGAAAACACACACACACACACACACACACACACACACAGAGGAGCACCCACAGGGTGGTTGGCACTGTTCTGGGTATCTGAGTCCAGAATGGAAATGGAGGCAGGAAAACTGTCAACATGTTTCTCTTACTACTACAAATATTCCATTACTGGATGCCATAATAATGACATCCAAAACTGTAAAGAATGGTTGAGGATCTCTGCCACTTTCCAATGAGTCAAAGGGCTACTTTACAAGCTTCCTCCATCCTGGAATTAATTCCTTCATCAATCACTTGAGCAAAGGTTCCCAATGCTTAGAAAACCCTGGGTGTACGATTCTAAGACTCAGGCAATGACACTGCCTGTGCACATCGGACAACGGAGAGAGATGTCAATGCGCATGACCTCTCAATGACTCACATGGTGCCCCTCTACAGAGGGGAACTTTGCCCCTGAAAGGTCAAAGTTTGTTGACTTATTATTGCAATAAACAAGAACAATCCCAACCTTGCAGCCCCAAGCAATGAATCCATCCCTGTCTATTCTCTAAGACATCTGGACCCTGCAAGTCTCCCTTTCTAACCAGTATCCCCAAAAGACTGGAGGCAGGCTGGGAAAATTCACCCTCCAGGGATAAAAACTAAACTCACCATTACATGTACAGCGTACGTTCCTGTAGAAACGAGGACACACAAAACTAATACGAGCCGTGCTGTAGGTCATTAGAGAATGTGAATCTATGGACAAGCTTTGTTCACAGTGTTGTTCCTGGCAATCCAGTCCAGAGCAATTCTTCTCTAGGATGGCTGAGATGCGAATCACATTCTCCAAATGTCTCCTTGCATTGGATAGCTTCTGGATGAGGTACGCAGGCTTATAGAAGCCGCCACTGTGCATCTGCACGGCAAACAACATGTCCAGCTGGTTAGTGCCAGCCACAGGCTGGATGCTGATGATGTGGAGGCTGTCCTGTTTCTGAGAAAGGACGGCATTCCGGAGGGTTCTTCGGAACCCATGCATGTGCAGCCCAACAAAGTCCTCAGGGGAGACATTCTCAAATCGGATGGTGACTGTGTTCTGCAGCATCTCCTGCACCAGCTGTTCCACGTGGACGATGACATCAATGGGCACCTGGAAGCGGCCGTCACTCACGGAAACATTCAGAATGTACTTACCACTGTCCAGGCCTCCCAGGGCAATGATCTTTCCATCATGGGTGTTCACCTTGAACAAGCTTCTCTGCTCAGATTTCAGTGCATATGTGAGTACGTCATATACGTCCTGGTCGGTGGCATGGATCTTCCCAATGACACCCCCAGGGAAGTCATCCTCCATTGTGACAATAAAGATCTCTAAGGGGATGGCAGTGGGCTTGTGGATACTTTCTTCAATCACCCGGATATGAATATAAGAGTGGGAAACTTGCTGGGGTTTGCCTGAGTCCCTTGCCTACAATATTTAAAGAAGCAACATCAGAATTAAGAGAAAAAAAACACCCCATACTTTCAACTACGTTTCTTTTTTTTTTTTAAGCCATTCTCTCCCTCAAAGTGCTGAAGATGTGCATTTAAAGTAAGGGGAACTATTTATCAGTTTCAACTCCCAAATGCACCATTGATTATTAACAGTAAGGCATGAGAATAGAACAGAGCTGGGGGTAGGGAGAAAGATGACCCAGGAAACATTGTGATGGCATTGTTTCCAATTTGGGCAGAAGGCAGAAGTGAAGCTGCAAAGTGTTGTTACAGCTCTAGGGAAGACTTTGCTTTGATTCAGTTTACCTAACTTTGCTGAAATGTCCTCTATGTGCACCAGAACACTATGGTAGGTACTGGGTGAAATAAAAAAAAATAGGTGGAATAAAGTTCTCTGCCCTCAGCGAGCTTACAGTCAAGAAGAAGGGACATGGTACATACAAAACAATTGTAATATGACATAATGCATCTTCTTCATGGGTGTGTGTGAAAGAGAAGGTGAATTTTTGTCAATTCGAAAAAATTAAAGAAACAAAAGAAGCATGTTTCACCAATGCCAATTTGGGGCAAATGAGCCCCTTCTGAACACAGACAACCCCAGTTTAACTGGTGATATCTGCCTCCAATGTTGAGTCTGCTTGGTTTAGGAGGCCTGTTTTATCTCCTCAGGTAACTGAGTACCCCAGTATCCAATGCCTAAGGTAGCACAGCATCATCCTTCATGTGAGGGATCTCTTGGGTGACTGCTTCCATCAGCCACACAGGTGTTCCTATTCTCTGAGCTCTGACAAGAGAGATCTCCGTCCAGACCTTGCTAGCTCTTTTCCCTTTTTGTTTTTTCCACTCCCTCTCCATCTGTTGTCCCACAGCAACTGATGCTCCAGGGGAGGGCAAGGGAGTACAAGTCATCCCTTGAACTCTGTTGCTAGTTTATTTATTCTTGGTTCCATCTTTTTTTTTTTTCCCAAAATGTGGGGAAATGGAACAAGATTAAGTGGGCTGGATGAAGAAGATAAGGTTTCTCTCCCTCCTACAAAAACTTAAGGAGACATCTGGCCTAAACCAAATATAAGATGCTGATTCATTACTTCCCCACTTACGGTGATTCAGCAGATGATTCCATCACAAAGGAAGAAGCCTTGTACAGCTGAACAATATTTGGGGGGTAAACTGGACCCTCGGGGAAATTTTAAATAGACTTAAGAGTGATCGCCTGGTTAAGCACACCCTAAGTAAATCCTAGGCCTGAACAATGATGTCCTCATTTCTTTCTATTCAATTTCACATACAGAGCCTGCTTTTACTGGTGTGAAATTGAACTTGAGATTAAGAGGGGAGCATATTCCTACATGGCCATTACATTATGCTTACTCAACAAAGGAAAACTAAGCAACAGGCACAATAACAAACAGAAATGAAAGACATCTGGTCCCCAGAAAGGGCAAGACAGTACCTGGATGTAGAGCACATATTCGGGAGAGTCTGTGTGTCTAAAGATCACTGCTGATCTTAAGATCCCATGAGGGTCCAACACAAATTCCTGTTCCTCATTCCCTGCCAAGATGGTAAAGGTGAAGGGAGGTCCATTGTGAAAGGAGTCTCGGTCTGTAACCATCAGCTGCAAAATGCTTGTCCCCACTGGTTTGTTTTCCTGCATAAAATAGTAGGGGGAAAAAATTTAATCAAATTATATTCCTTTTTCATTTAAAAAAAAAGCAAACCATTGCTCACCAGAAATACAATGTTTTGAAAAGCAAGTAGTTCCCCATGATATTTTATTATCTTTAGCCAAATACTGGTGCTTTTTAACAATTTTTATTTTCCTCCCTTTCCCTCACCAATAGAGGTCATATTTATATATTTTTCATTCATTTGTTTGTTTTTTTTAAGTCCTAACTATGGTCTTGAGCTGTAGTGAATTCTCCAATTTATTGAAACATCCATGGCTACTTGAGAAAACTCCAAAAACCTAGAGATGGAATGGTGCTCACAGATTGGTTCATTTGTAGGACAACCTTGGAGACCCTCTCGGGTCAAGAAGACATCAACCTGTCGGGACCTAACTTTTCTCAAACAGTTGTTACAACAATTATGCAGAGAAAAAACACTGGGATGCAACATTACAATAGGAGACTTTGCAGGGTTGGGAGGTCATTCTAGAAAAATGAACAAATCGACAGTAAACACACAGAAGCAAGCATCAAAAGGAGTATTTAACTTTACGGTTTTAACACTCACAAAGAGCTTAAATTGAACACACTTAGTAGTGAATGAGATCATTTATTATTATTATTATTATAATTATGTATTATATAAATATATAATAATTATAATATAAATTGTATATCATTCATTGGAGATGTGTAGGGAAGGGTATCCTGTAGCTTTAATGTCAGTAGAACAATTTTTATTCATTTAAGCAATCAGTAACTCAAGTAATATTTTACTGATTGTCTCTGCCTCTCCTCCCAAACAGTCCTTCTCCATACGCCTTGGGTCAGAGGTTATCTTCACTTGGATTAAATTCCTCTGTGGCTCAGGAGTTGAGGTTCTCCCTGCTCTCTATTTAGATTTCAGTGCTGTTATAGGTTGGAACCAGAGTCAGTTTTGCCAGTGCAGACCTTTTGATGACAAAGATTTAGGATTAAGTGAGTCTGGGTCAGAGAGATTGATAGAATGATACATGTACTTTTGGCAGGGAGGAAAATGCAGGGTAGGAGCATAAGCTCTAGGTCCTGAATTAGATTGAGTCTTATCAAAACCATGTGTGGGAGTAAGTCAGAATAGATTGGGAAGAGGGAGGGAATTATTCTGAAGGAGAAAGATAGCAGGACCTTCAAGACCTGTCATTTTTCTCCTCCTCTCAAGTGTCCTTTCAGTCAGCAAGAACCAGATGCAAGATTCCTCTGAAATCAGTTACCATCCCTTCCAGGTTCAGTAAAGATTTATTGCTTCACGCTGCAATATACTCAGCCCTGCACCAAGTGTAAGATTTATTTATTTATTTGCTCAATCTATACAGCCACTTCCCTCCAGAGAGGAAAGACATAATAGTCGCCTCAGGGCTCACCATCCATGAAAAGAGAGAGAGATATACTGCAGAGGCCAGACACTCCACGACCTGGAGAAGGGTCACATTTGGAGGGGGTGAGGGGCCTCTGGTCTTTCATTCTTCCCTTCCTGTTTGGCATTTGAAAACAGCCTGCCAGGCTGATTGATATATGTTATAAAATGAAAATTAAGTGCCTGGAGTCTATGAGGCAAGGATAGAGGACAAAAGCTGGGGCAGGGGAGAGGAAGAGTCGGGGAGAGGGGCCACCTCCTAAAGAAACTGAGGCAGGTGTAGAAATTCCATAAATATTTATGTTGGGAGGATGGGGATCACATTATACAGCTGTTGGAAATACGACAGGAAGAGGAAGAAAATGAAGTCTAGCTGGGATCTAGGAGAGGCAACTAAAAGAATACCACAAAGTGGAGGCATCAGATTTCATGAAAAGAGGGGGTGAAAATGAAGACAACACCTGCTTGTTCTGTAACTGCTCTCCTCTCCTCCCCCCCACCATTCCTGGGCCATGGGCCTGAAAAGTGAGGGTTCCAACATGGGTGGATCTAAGACGCGCTGTCCAGCCTCAGATTATCTTCTGTTTGCGGAAGTCTGGGGAGACATGGAGATTGGGGGGCTGAATCTGGAGGTTCAAATCTATACTGGGGTGAACCTGAGAGATGTCTGGAACTGAAATAATATCAACACTGTACCTCAATGCCTTTGATCCTTCATACAGACCAAGATCTAATCAATAGCTGGCTTTGTGTATATTCCTGGTGTGTGGTTTTTGCAACAGCTTTTGGAAGTATTAGGATATGGGGCACATGGCCTTTCTCTCTGATGTATGAGTCTAGAAAAAACAGGACTAAGTCATCACATCTTGCAGCTGGCTTTTAAAGGGCAGGTGGGTTATAAAGCATGAAATAAGTTTTTGGCACTGGTTCAGCTCTCTAGAGGGACACTGCTTTGTCCAACTGCCAGATCTCTAAGCTTCCCCCACCCTCCTTCTGCTTTATGAAATATTCAGCACCCAACTGGCTTTCCTTTTCCTTAACAATCCTGGGGTTCACGTGCACTACCTTCACACTGTAGACAAGAATCAAGATGGAAGGTAGGGCTCTTTTCTACAAGTCAAGTGAAAAGTTAAGATGATGTTGAGTAAAAAGCATTGAAGAAGAAATGAGAACAGCATCATAAGAGTCTTCATCTTCGAGAGTCTGTCCATAGAGGTCAGTTTACCTGGATTACAGCAGTGTAGTTAGCTGGTGTGAAAACGGGGCCATTGTCATTAACATCAGAAATGTCTATGTTGACTGTCACAGTGGATGACATGGCAGGAATGCCGCTGTCCGTAGCCTGAATGAGTAATGAGTATCCAGACACCTGCCAAAGGGAGAGCACACTGAATGAACAGTTGAGAAATCCATAACTCCCATCCTTATGGCCACACTCCAAGTAAATTCAGGCAAAGTAGAGCAGCTCAGAGTAGTTCATTACGTGCCTGGGGGGCTACAAAAACTAAAAGGATACTAAAAGGATACACACACACACACACACACATAACATAGATGTATACACATAAAATACATGTGTGTATATCTCTCAAATATACACACACTTTTTTTGGGGGGGGGGCGGTCAGGTCCTATGATTTCACTGGTAAAGAGAACTTCCAGTGAGGAAACTTCCTTTAACAGTGCAGATTAGTACTTTGGCTTTGCAATTTAGAATCTTAACAGAGTTGTGGGAAGCACTGGGAGGTTAAATGATTTGCCAAGAAGGCCACATACAGCTAGGACTTAAACCCACATCTTTTAGGCTCTAAGGCTGGGTCTGTCCACTCTGCTACATATGCTCATTTTAATCAACCAATTGCCCATAGAAATTGATACACTTATAAAAATGTATCCATGAAAGTTCTACATGGTGGTAAATGCCTAGGTTTCATAAGGACATTAGTTTATTCCTCTGGTCATAGAGGACCATAGACTTGTTCAAAGTCACACAGGCCAGGTATTTGAACTCAGGTCTTCTAACTCCAAATCACTGGCATGGCAACAGACTGACGGCTCTGTCCCACCGTCCTCACTTTGTTATTTTGGAGCTGCATACAACATTTGCACTGTGGCCCAATATATGCTGCATGGCCTCATGGGAATACTCTGAAAGACTACTTTGAGGGATTAAGTTTTGTGATGCTAGATTCCTCATGAGACCTAATGGATGCACTTACTGCTCAGGTTCCTTTTTTTTTTTTTACAAATATTATCAAGTGAGATACTATTTCTAAAGTGTCTAGCATAATACCTTGCACACAGTTGGTGCTTAATAAATGCTTATTCACATCTGTATTCCTACCCCTCTCCCCACTCTTTAATTATTAGACGTAAGAGACTAGCCTAATTATTTTATATGCATCCCTAGCACGTAGCACAAGTATCTGGAACATAGCAGGTGCTTAATAAATGTTTTCTGACTGATTGATACATTCATAATCCACATATAATCTCAGCCAATTACTTCCATGGTACAGTTAACACTATCTCATTTAAAAAAAATAGGATGTTGAGAATTGGGTCCGTGAAGAAACAGGGAAAGTATAACCTTTCCTATCTAAAATTCTATATTATCATAAAATATGCATACATAATTAAGTAACATTACAAGTATATATATTTACACATATGTATTTGTACACATACATACATATATGTACGCAGACCTGTGTTCCATTTTAAATACAATCCAATATATAAAATTCTGAATTTTCCAAAAAAGAAAAATTAGAATGATAATTCACTTTATGAAAGAAGTCACCATTAATAAGTGTTTGTTGAAATGAATTAAACAGTGAGCTCCCCTGGTACATTGAAAATGTCATTTAATTTATGAATATTTGATCTACTCGCATCTTTTAAAGAATTCTACTGCATAAAATAAAGTACATTTTAATATTCCATCTACAGACGAGATCCTATTAAGTCAGTTAAGAGGAAAACCATTAGCAAAGTCAAGGAATTAACCTTGACTTCAATTCAAAAAAGCCAGTTACTTGATTGTTTAACCAAATGGCAATACCCAGACTCTTAGACATTATTTCAAAAATCAATAAATTCACCCATATGGATGTTTCCTTTACCAAAGCAGATTATAACCTTTCAGTTCCTTATTCAACATCTTTGTGAGTTGCTGCAAGCTAAAAAAAATCACCAGTTGGCCAAGGTTCTAGTGAAGAGCCTCTCTAAGTCTGGCTAGGCTGGTTCTCCAAGGAAAGACATACAGCCAGTCAGGGCCCCATATTTGCAGCCCTTCTGGTGTGGAATGCCCTGAAATGACTTCCCCCTCCTCTTCCTGCTGTTACTGCTGCTGCCACTAGACCTCCTAGGGTTACAGGCTCACCTCCATGCTCTGATGGGAAGGAATGTTTCTTCCTCATTTCTCACCAGAAAATCCTGCTAGCTCTTTCCTAGGGTGATTTGTATTCAGGGCATTAAATTGTACCCTATCATTTAGCTCTTCCACTCATACACAAACAGCAAGAAAATTAGTAACTGTTTATTCTGTGCTGTGGACATTGGCAGTAATTCATCTTTAGCTCTACATAACAAATATCTGCATTCAATCAAGTAAAAATTAAATGAGATAATGAGATCAATATGCCTTGAAAAATGGTATCAAATGCAAGGTACTATCATTACTTAGACACTATGACCCTTAGTCATATATGCATTAATAATAATAGTTAGCATTTATATTTAGCTTTAAGGTTTGCAATCACTTTACAAATATCTCATTTTATTCTCAAAACAACTCTGGGAAGGAGGTAGGTGCTATTATTACAATCACCATTTCATGTGTTTGATGGTATATATGACTGAGTTAATTTACCTGGAAATTAGAGGGACAGGTTGATCCTTCCTCACATTCACTCACAGGGCTTGCAATTAAGTAGCTGTGCACCTTGCAGCAGGCTTTCCAGGCTGGGTCTCTGGGAAGTATTATTAAGGCTAATCTGCCTCCTTTATCAAGGCTAATTTTACCCAGCCTCTGAGGCTATAGCACACAGGGAATCCCTTCTGGGTTTTCTGCACTTTGGCATCTGGGAAATTCTACCTTTACTTTCTCTTTAGAGAACTGAATCCTTGGTTGAGAAAGGGCTTCTTTTAAACTTAAGTAAAGTTAATTTTACTTAAGCCAAGTAAATGTAAGAAAAACTAGAGGATGTAAGCTTTTTTGATTCATGTTTCCTGATCTGGGAGTCCTTCCAAGCCATCACTGATCACAGCCTCTGGTAGGGATAAGTTAGCTATACAAACTAGAACCATGGGCTCCTGGTGCTAGGCCACAGGGCCCACATCCACGGCATTAATAAAGTTGACAGTGATGTGATATTTGACAGACTGGCTTCATATTTTATCATAGAAACTGGCTGCTTTTTACTGATGTTTTAGGTCATCTTCTCTCTCATCTTTCTAAAGAATTTTCACTTTGGTAACCTTGGCCACAACAAAGAAAGCACTCAAGACATCCCTGATGGAACTGGTTATTTCCTTAATATCTCTTGAAGCAATGAATTCTGGTGTTAGACAGAATTTGGCAAAAAATTCTTCCTAGGATCTAATCCAAATCTAAGCTGTTATAACTGTTGACCTGTTCCTATTTCTCTATTTTTGCTGTACTCAGGGAATCACTGACCACATTATTATATTATAAATATTATATAATTAGATATATATTATAGCTCTCTCTATATATCATATACAATTATACATGTTATATAATTAGATGTCCTTCCACAGCCCTCTCTCTTTCAGACTATATAAATCTCACGTCCTATAACCATTCCTTTAAAAAATCATTTTATTATTCACTTTTAGAGGCTTTTAAGGAAGCCTAGAGGGGGAGGTTGGTCTAATGAATCTTACCCGTTCTCGGTCCAATTTCTTTTTCACTTTAACAAGTCCCAAGACAGGATCCACCGCAAACTCATTGTCCCGGTCCCCACTGACAATGGAGAAGCGAATCTGTCCGTTGGGTGGGCTATCTACATCTTCTGCTATTAACTTCAAGAGAAAACAAAAGCATTAGAGAAAAAAGTCCATGCTTTGCCTAACCCGACAGTTCTACAGAAACACAGAGGTTAAGCAAACCCCAGCCTTGCAGAGGTGCTGCCAATTTTCCTATTAGGATTTCCCATCTTTATCCATCACAGTAACAGAGATGGTATACATGACAGAAAAGCACCATAGCTAAGGTCCTAGACTCCATTTTTATTTAATCATACATATCCACAGCCTGATTTGTTTTCTGGATGCCTCAGGCCCTGAACCAAAAGTAGGAACCTAAAAACTAAGTGATTGCTCCCCAATGGCAAGGATTAGTTCCTTCCTGTCTGTGTATCCTCAGGACCTAGCACTGTGCCATGGTCACAGTAAGTACATACTTGATTAAACGATTCCTTCAGTTTTCTTATTGTCTTTGCATTCCCTCAAACATTTGCTTTTGTCAACTGTGCTGGATATTCTATATGCATAGGTACATCTGACATCACGTACAGACAGATTTGATGGGTGATAAAAGGGCTCCCACACCTCTAAATGTGTCCCTTAACTGTGTGTCTTTAATGCTTAAAATTCTACCATCAAGTAGTTATTCATTTGGGTTAAGATACCAATCACTATTAAAATGTGAGTTATCCTTTAAACCATTATCAGTCATTTAGACCTCAGTATGAAGTAGTTTATTAACTCCTACCCAGTAGAAAATAAGGTTGAAAGGTGCTGGGCAGGGCGGGGGGGTGAGGTGGGTGGTATATGGTCTCTAGAGAGAGCCCCAGGGAGAAGAATGTCACTTAAGAGAGACCATGGGAGGGCACTAGAGACAAACTTTGACTTCACCATTCTGCCTTAATTTGGCCCTGCACATCAGGACCAAACTGACCACGTGTACCCACCATAATGACCGAGTCCCCGATGGAAGCATCTTCACTGATGACTGCACTGTACACCTCCTGGTTAAATATTGGTGCATTGTCATTCACATCGGTAAGGTTGATGTTCACTGTGGCCACAGCACTGAGGGCTGGGGTACCCCCGTCTTTGGCTTCCACCACAAGGTAAAAATCTTTGCACATTTCATAATCCAGGGCCTCAATGACAGAAATCCCTCCTTTGGAGAAAAATGCGGAGTTTTAGATTTGATTTTTAAAAAATGGGCAGACATACAACTATCATTATAAATATTATTTTTGTTATCTTTAGCCAAAAATGGCGGGTATTCTATAACCCATTTATTTAAGGTTCTTGAAAACATATCCTGAAAACCTACTTAGTACTGTCAATCATTGCACAGTTGTCCATCAACCAGAACACTGAGTTATTTAAAAAATTTCCATTGAAGAATCAGACATTTCAATAGATTTTTAAAACTGAAACTGAGCTCTCTCATTTTGGAGTGCATTAAAACTAGCACTCTCCACTCTCATGCAATCAAGATTACAGAGTCAGGGATAGGTGGCCTTCTTGATTTTGAATATCAGTCCTGCTACTTTGTTTCTAGCTTTGTGACTCTGGGCAAATCACCTCACCCCTCTGAGCCTCAGTTTCCTCATTTGCAAAATGAGGGGGTTGGGCTGGATGACATCTACAATTCATTCCTATGTTTGGTCACCATGGTTCCTACAGCTAAACTATAAAGCAATACAGAAAACGGCCCTGTTATAAAATGAAAACCATCACTCTTCTCTGTAAATAAAGATGCTACAGTTTTTTAGTTCTGTAATTAAGGTTCCTTGACAATTATCACACTTAGAGCTTTATTAAGTCCCCTGCCCTAACTGTCAAATAACAAAATTTAAGCAATATTTAACCATTTCCCCATGGCATTTAAATACAATGGTCATTAGCCTATAAGTTGGAATTAATGAATACCTAAATGTGTGTGGACTGCCCCTCCTCCATACACTTTAATTTTAAATAATGGGCTTTACCTGAAAGAGGTGACTGCAGTGCAGACTCATTGCTGGTGGGAGTAGTTCTTTCTGCCTAGTACAGTCCTTCTTCCTATAGGTACCCCTTTTGCTAACCTATCATGACTAACACACTTATTCCTCTAGTGATGAGGAAGGGGGTGTGTGTGTGTGTGTGTGTGTGTGTGTGTTTGCCTAGTGAGCAGTGAAGGTGGTAGAAGCCCGCCCTCAGCCTTCACCTCATTACACTCTAGAAGGAGAGTTGACTTCTAAATAAAAGGAGTCCATTCCAATGGAGGATCTCATTTCTATGGGCAAGACCCTTCCCTTACCTTAGAGAAAAACATTACAAGTTTCAAAATAGGTCCCAAGTCATTCTACTTCTTAGTGCTATTTACAAGGTCACTAGCCTCCTGCTCTAGGTTAGCTAGCTAAAGCTTCAGTGAAACAAAATATATGGAAAACCCTTTGCAAACCTTAAAGTGCTATGTAAATGTTTATTACTGTTGTTGGTATTATTATTTTGACTCACTGTGAAAATAAAAATTGGCTCCTGCACAGTTTCCAATGAAATGAAGATGCAAGGGTGAAGAAAATGATGTAATGTAACCTGCCTCTCCTGTTTATTTTTGGCATGGTTGTCATGGCAATATGTTTTTTAGGCAAACTGAGTATTTCCTACAGGTTAGATTCTCCAAATCTAACAATCTTCAGAAAACAGGGATAATTACAGGAAGAAATATTAAGAGCTGAAAGGATTCTTGGAAGTTGTTTGGACCAACCCCCTGTCCCATGCTATAATTCCCTCTATAACATCTTGGACAAGTGGGTAATCTAGCCTCTACTTAAGTAATTGTAGTGCTGGGGAGCTCATCACTCTCTAAGGCAACCACTTCCACAGCTGAGCAGTGCTGCATGTGAAGAAATCCTCCCTTCGATTAAGCCAACATCTCTCCCTGAAATGTCCACTCGTCAGTCTTAGTTATACTTTTTAGAGGCAAACAGAACAAATCTAATCCTTGTTCCACATGAAAGCTTTTTGAATATTAGTAGAGAGCTATCACGACATCTCCTCAAATTTTCTTCTCCAGGTTACACACTACCAACTCCCTCAACTATTTTTACAAGACTTCTCACCATTTTGTTTATCCTTCTCTACAAGTGCTCAGATGTGTCCATGGTTCCTTTAAAAAAGTAACACTTAGAATGGAACCCGATGCTCCAGAGTCATCTGACCAGCACAGAACAGAGTGGGATTTTCACCTCTACAATTCTGGACCCTTCTTCATTATTTCAAGGATCTGCAATTCCATCTGAACCACATTCTTTCTATTGATGCAGATCATAACCCCTCTACAACTAAGGGACTGATCTTGGAGTTTCTGTGGCCTCCAAGTTCATCCTCCTCCTAGACAACCAGGTGGTGTTTTGTTTTTGATCTGACCTATTATTTAATTATTTAATTCGTAGAGAGAACTGCTGGTGAGGAACTTCCTCTCTTAGCTATACTGGTCCTTGCATGATCAGACATATTGTTGGACCCGTACTCAAGGTCTTTCCAGTTGTAAAGAAAAGCCCCCTGGATTCAAGAAGTTACCAGGGCTTTTATTCCACATCCCTTGCCTTCAATACCCCGTGTCTTCTGCTTCTGGACATTATCATTTTATCAGTGTTGCTGAAGGTGGCTGAATCATATTGTTGACTTATGTTGATCTAGCATTCATGTCAAAGCTCCACCTTTTTCAGATGAAGTGTTATTAAGCTAGGTTTTCCCTATCCTACACTTGTACTATTGAGCTTTTGAATATCAATATGACTTCACATTTCTCTTTAGTAATTTCATCTTGTTGTGCTCCTTTAACATCAAAAGAGAACTTTCTGAAGTTTTGATCCTGTCATTCAAACTACTTGCTATCTCCTCTCTCCCACTTCTTTTGTGTGAAGTAGATATGCCTGCCTCCTAGGGTCTTTATCCAAGGTGCTGACATCAATGTTGAACAGGATAGGGCTGAGGACATATGGGAAGAGTTCATACTGGGCAAAGCGTGTGTTGGGCATTGATGCAAATTTTGCAAACTAAATAGAACTTCTGTGGGCTTAATGGTTTATGAAAACTATTTGCAAGGGCTGGGTTAGGCCATATGGTTCTCCCTCCTTTCTTACTAAATGCTGTGGAATTGAGGAAGCATAAAATCATTTGACAGATCACTCCTGTGGCTGGCTCATATTTTAATTGCAGATAATGACCAGTTTCCAATAGGAGAGCTGGAAGAGTAATGGCTTCTGCAGAGGCAATATGTCTACTGAAAAGAGCACTAGGCTGGGGGCTAGAAGACCCGCTGCTTTTATTTCTGTGTTTCCATGATGAGCGCTTTCAGGGAAATCAATTAACCTCTCTGTTTTTCAATTGCCTTACCTGCAAAATGGGGACAGTAATGTCTGTCCAACCTCACAGAACTGTTGGGACAGTGAAATGGAATAACAGATACCAAAGTGCTCTGGAGAATGTTGTAAAACATAAGGTGTGACTATTCTGATGACTGCTCATTAGCATTCTCTCTAAACTTGTTTTCTGGCTATACTCTTTACCTGTGGTGCTTCATCATTAAGCAGATGACTATGAGGAATAAATACCCCTTTGAACCTTCGTCTTTTGCTCCATATACCTATGCTGTAAATAAAGTCATAAATTCATCTAGATACTGGAGAGGAACTATGGATTATAGTAGAAGATTAATAAATGAGTACTGATTGATGAGAGGGAAACACTTTTTGGAGAAATCCTTGGAATCCTTAATTATGAGTATGACTCTTTTTTTATGAGGATAACTCATAAGGGCAAGTGGGAACTACCCAAACTGGAGAGACCAGAACCAAATAGCATGAATGGAAAGCATTTTTTTTTTTTGTGCTGGCTTTCAGGCCTGACTGACAGAAGCTTAGCTCTGGAGCATCCACTTGCTATTTTACTCACCTGTCTTTGTGTTAATCTTGAATTTCCCTCGTTCATTCCCAGACCGGATGAGGTAAGTTATTTCAGCATTTGTACCAATGTCTTTGCTTGTGGCAAACACGGCAAGGACTTCTGTGCCTGGGGATGTATCTTCTGGTACTGTAACAAGATAATCCCTTCTTTCAAACACAGGAGGGTTGTCATTAATGTCCAAAACAGTAATGGTGACCGTGGCCAGGGAAGATAGCACCTTGAGGATGCTCTGGTCTGATGCCTTCACGCTGATGTTATAGGATGACTGCAGCTCTCGATCCAGTGGCTGTTCCAAGATGATAATGCCTGAGGAGCTGTCCACTGAAAAGTACCCTCCTGCTGAGTCTGCCAGAGAATAAACAACTTTCCTGTTGATGCCTAAGGGAGGAGCAAAAATCAGAAAAATGATGACTGTGGGAAATGTTCCTTTTACATGACATTCTAATCCCTGACCTCCTAATCTTGATTAGGATGGACAGTCAACGTTCTCTTTCACTATGAAAAATGGAGACTGTCCAGCAAAAGCACTCCTATTTTTGTTATATTCCTTTTTCCTGCCTCAGAGCCCAGAAACTTTACTTTTTAATATTTTATTTTTCCCATTTACATCTAAAAACAATTTTAACAATAGTTTTTAGGATTTTGAATTCTAAGTCCTCTCCTTTCCTCCCTTCCTTTCCCCCTCATTAAAAAGCCAAGCAATTTGATATAGGTTATACATGTGGAGTCATGCAAAACATTTTTCTATATTAGTCACATTGTGAAAGAAAACAGATAAAAAAAACCCTCAAAGAATAAAGAAAGTTAAAAAAGTATGCTTCGTTTGCATTCAGACTCCACCAGTTCTTTCTCTGGAGGTGAGTAGCATTTTTCATCATAAATCCTTTGGAATTGTCTTGGATTACTGTACAAGTCATTCACAGCTGATCATCCTACATATTGCTGTTACTGTGTATATGCTTCTCCCGGCTCTGCTCACTTCACTTTGCATCACTTCACATTAAGTCTTTCCAGGTTTTCCTGAAAGCATCCTGCTCATCATTTCTTCTGGCACAATATATGTTGTCCATCTCAACCATATACCACAACTTGTTCAGCCATTCCCCAGTTGATGGGCATCCCCTCAATTTACCAATCCTTTGCCACCACAAAAAGAGCTATTTTTGTACATATGGGTCCTTTTCCTCTTTTTAAAAAATCTCTCATGGATACAAAACTAGAAGTGGTATTGCTGGGTCAGGGGGTATGTGTGGTTTTATAGCTCTTTGAGCATAGTTCCAAATTGCTCTCCAGATCAGTTCACAATTCTACCAACAGCACATTATTGTCCCGATTTCCCCAGTATTTAACATTTTTCTTTCCAGTCATACGAGCCAATCTGATAGGTGTGAGGTGATACCTCAGAGTTGTTTTAATTTGGATATCTCTAATCAATAGTGATTTAGAGAATTTTTTCACATGACTACAGATAGCTTTGATTTTTTTTATCTGAAAACTACTTGTTCATATCTTTTGACCATTTATCAATTGAGGAATGACTTCCATTTATCCATTGGGGAATGACTTGTATTCTTATAAATTTGACTTGGTTCTTTATACATTTGAGAAATGGTGTCTTTATCAGAGAAACTTGCTATGAATCTTTTCCACAGTTATGATGACTATGTATTTCTCTCTAACCTATTTTCCCCGTTCATCCTTCTCTTTCTCTTCTTTCAGTCTCTCCTCAAAAGTGTTTTTGTTTCTGACTGCTGCCTCCCCCATCTTCTCTTCCTTCTATCATCCCTCCCCCTTATCTCCTTCCCCTCCTACTTTCCTGTAGAGTAAGACAGATTTCTATAAGCAGCTGAATATGTTATTCCTACTTTTGGGGAATTCCGATGAGAGTAAGGTTCAAGTAATTCCTCCTACCCTTTCATCTTCCCCTCTACTGTAAAAGCCCTTTAGCACCTCTTTTATGTGAGATAATTTACCCTATTCTACCCCTCTCTTCCCTCCTCCTCCAGGTGGATCCCTCTTTCTTACCCTTTGATTTTTTAGATATAATTCCATCATAGCGCACTCACACTCATATCCTCTGTCTACGTGTATTGCTACTAACTGCCCTGATAATAATAAAGCCCTTAGGAGTTACAGGCATCACATCTTCTCATGTAGGAATGTAAACATTACTGAATCCCTTATGACTAATCTTTCCTGTTTATCTCTTTTATGCTTCTCTTAAGTCTTGAATATAAAAGTCAATATTTTCTGTTCAGCTTTGGTCTTTTCATCAGAAATGTTTGAAAGTCTTCTATTTTGTTAAATATTCATTTTTTCCCTGATGGATTACATTGTTTTGCTGAACAGGTGATTCTTTGTTGTAATCCTAGCTCTTTTGCCCTCTGGAATATCATATTCCAAGGCAACTGATCCTTTAATATAGAAGCTGCTAAATCTTGAATTATTTTGATTGTGGCTCTATGACATTTGAATTGTTTCATCCTGGCTGCTTGTGATATTGTTTGTTGTTGTTCATGCTTTATTCTTGAAGAGAACCAACGACATCACCAAGAGATGTCTTGACTTGTGAGTGAACTGGACATAAGTGAGGCAGAGCTGCACAAAGTCATCAGCCTCACTCTCTCTGCCAGAGTCACTGGGGTCCAGTGTTAAGAAATAAGTGAAGATGACTGGCGATGTCCCAGGCAATATTTTCTACTTGTCCTAGGAGTTCTGCAATTGGCTATAATATTCCTATGAGTTTTCATTTTGGGATATTTTTCAGGAGGGGACTGATAGAGTCTTTCAATTTCTATTTTACCCTCTGCTTCTAGGACATCAAAGAAATATTCCTTGATAATTTTTTCAAATTTGATGTCCAGGCCCCCCCCCTTTTTTTTCTTAATAATAGCTTTCAGGTAGTTCAATAATTCTTAAATTTTCTCTCCTCAATCTATTTTCCTAGTCATTTTTTCCAGTGAGGTATTATCACACATTTTCTTCTATTTTTGCATTCTTTTCATTTTGCTTTATCATACCTTCATATCTCATGGAGTCATTAGCTTCTACTTGTCTAATTCTAAATTTTAAAGAATTATTTTCTTTACTGAACTTTTGTACCTCCTTTTCCATTTGGCCAAATCTGCTTTTTAAGTTCTTCTCTTTAGTGAATTTTTGTACATTTTTTTCAATTTGGCCAATTCTCCTTTTTAAGGCATTTTTCGCTTTAGTGAATTTTTGTGGTTCTTTTATCATTTGGCCTATTCTGTTTTTTTAAGGTGTGATTTTCTTCAGTATTTTTTTGTGCCTCCTTAATTAAGCTGTTGACTCTTTTTTCATGATTTTCTTGCATCATAACTCATTTCTTTTTCCATTTCACCCTCTACCTCTCTTATTTGAGTTTTAAAATCTGTTTTGAGTTCTTTCAGGAATTCTTTTTCGGCCTGAGACCAATTCACATTTTTCTTTGATGCTTTGAATGTAGCAGTTTTTACTTTGTTTACTTTTTTAACTTTTGTTTACTTTTTCTGAGTTTGCGTTTTGATCTTCCCTGTCACCATCTTAACTTTCTACAGTCAAGTTCTTTTTTGTTGTTTGCTCATTTTTCTAGTCCACTTCTTGACTTTTAACTTTATCTTAAAGTTGGGCTCTGCTCCTGGGGTAGAGAGGACACTGTTCTTGGTTTCAGGTTTTTCATGCTGCTTTTTTTAGAACTAGTTTTTCCAAAGTGCTATGTTCTAAATGGTATATTCTAAGTCCTGCCTTGTGAGTGACCACAAGTTCCTGGTACCCCTGGAGCCTCATGCTCTATAGTGCACAAGTGCTTTTCTTCCTCAACATAGGACTGGAACCCAGAACCATGTATAGGTAATGCAACAGAGTCCTGCTCCTAGTGCCAGCAAAATGTCCCGTTTAACCTTCTTCTGACCAGTTGTCCAGCCCCATCACTATCTGCGGACTGAGAGTCATGGAAGCACCGCAAGGCCGGCTCCTGGCCTGCTCGGTTGCGGCCTATGCTGGCACAGCCTGCGCTGGACTGTACTCCACTCTCACCACACTGAGACAGACCTTTCCTGCCAATCTTCTAAGGTGTCTTAGGCTGGAAAATTCTTTCACCATGTGCTTTTGTTGGCTCTGCCACTCTAGAATTCATTGTAAGGTGTTATTTTAAAGTTGTTCAGAGGAGAATTTGGGAGAGTGTGGGCAAGTCACTGCTTTTATTCTACCATCTTGGCTCCACCCCATATGGTCCCTTTTAAACATAAAAACACTCACCACAGTGATCCTTTCCTTCTTCCCTGTGACTTCAGAGGAAGAGTTGTGCTCCTTTCTTCCTAAAGCTAGCTCTTCTCCCTGCATTTGAAATGTCATCCATTCCTACTTTCTGAGGCACACTGCTTCTACCTTTATCTTTAATCTCTGGAATTTTCAATCTGTTAGCTAGATTTTTTTCAAAGACACCTCCAAACATATTTGGGTCTTCCCAGTCTTAAAACAAATGTAAGGCTCCTACCCCTTTTTATTATTGTCATTTGTTTCCTTCTTTTCATAGCTGAACACTTTCAATGAGAGGCTGATATCATTTGCTATCACTTTTTAAAACAACTTTTCAGCTTCCTATGTACTTCTCATGGCCCAATAGGGAGACGATCCCTCCAGAAACTGTGATGTTAAGTTATCAATCATCTATTGGCAAATGCAATGGTTATTTTTGCCCCCTAGCACTTCTCAACTTTTTGGCCATGCTTTTTCTTGAATATCTCTCATTTCTTGTTTGTTAGTATATTCTTCTGGTTCTCTAGCCTCTATGATATGCTATCTCTTACACTGGTCCTCTTCCTCTTTCTATTCCCTAACTAATAGCTTCCCTGAGGTGCCGAAAAGCCTAGAATCTCAGAGTTGGAAGTGACCTCAGAGATCATCTATTTCAACTCATAACTGAGAACTGCCTTTATGACATATTGAATGAGTGGCTATCTTTCTCTCTAGCCTCCTCTCTTGCTACTCCTCCAGGTACCTATCCTTAGAGGGCTCATCTACTTTTTTGGATTCAGTAACCATCTTTGTTTTAATAAATTTCAAATATACATTTCTGATCTTAATTTATTCCCTAATTCTATCTTTTTTTTTTAAGGCAATTGGGGTTAAGTGACTTGCCCGGGGTCACACAGTTAGTGTCAAGTATTTGGTCTGAGACTGGATTTGAACTCAGATCCTCCTGACTTCAGGGCCGGTGCTCTATCTACTGTGCCACCTAGCTGCCCCATATTCCCTAATTCTAGAAGCTTATAAATAAATGCTTGTTGACTGACTGTAAGATATCTCCATTTGGCTATTCTACCATTATCTCAAAATCAGCATGCCTAAAACCACTTTGCTTTCTAGCCCTCCATATA